TCAAATTAGGTTCAGCACCGACAAAATAAAAGTTACTCCACGCAGACAGAAAGATTTCCCCCCTGGCGGCTCTAAAACTGCTGTGGGATGCCAGGGCGGGCAGAGGAGCGGCACCTTTCGGGTGTCAGCCCTCCGCTGACCTTGTGGGCCTGGGGCACGATGATCCTGTGGGAACAGGGGTCTTTGGAGGGATATCACTAAATCTGTGTCCAGCTTGTGGTCGCTCAGCCCTGCAGTGGGTGGTCTGCGGCAGTTAGCTGGAGTGTAGCAGGTACACTGGCTAAGCTCTTTAATCGATTTTTGTCCCTATTTCCCCTCACACTAGCAGCGCCTTTCAAACACACGTAGCGAGCAGACTGGATAGTCTGGGTTGTATTTTTTTTTTTCCTAAGAAATCACGTATTGCTCTGTTTTCTCTCGGTTCTTTACTCAGTGGGATGTAAGCGTTTACCGGGGCTGGCGGTGGGGTTAAACTCTCAGGCTGGGAAGTCGCCCTGTGGTGTCCATACTGGCTTCCTTCTCACCAGTTGCTCTACAGAAGAGGAGTGAGTCTTTTTAAGGGATGCACTGTCTTTATTTTAAGTGAGGAATTATTGAGAATGCAGAAATTAAGGCCTTTTAAATATTTAATGGATGGAGGTTTTCTAAATTATTTAATAGCTTATTGTAAAACATGACATAAAATGGTTTAGTAATTTATTCTTTACAGAAAGTAGCCATAAGTATTTTACAACGTGTAAATATTGGTAGGAAAAGTACCTAATTTAAAATGCTATCTTATTCTATCTGTCAAAGCAATTATACAGTGCCCATATGATTTCCAAATAACTTTAGACCTTGATTGTTTCTGTTCTTGAAACACTTCTCTGGTATGGGGAAATGTGGTTTATACCTGCTGTACCTGAGTGCAGAGGCACAGAGACAGACTGTGCTGGGACTGAGGCACAGCAGATCTGACCATTGCAGTTCCCTTCAGATGCCAGAACCCACAGCCTGAGTTTGGGCTTGTGGATACCCTGGATACTGACACATGAGAGTTGTATGGCCTGAAGTGGGCTCCGGGACAACCGAGGTGCAAAGCAGGAGTTGCCCATGGCCAGCCCATGGGTAAATACTGAGAGCAGAGCCCTTCCCCTCTCCCCCTTCTTTTCTTTTCTACGGCTTTGCTAGAGATGGAAGTGGAAGTAGGGGTTCAGTTGCCTCCTGGCTAGAGCTCGGATAAAAACAACTCCTGTCTTCATAAGATTGCTTTCCATGGGTAACTTCTGTTCAAATCCTCCTTGTGTAATTTCACCCTGCTGCATTGAAGTCGAGGACTTCATCCACAAAATTCCAGTGGATATCAGATATATCAGCACCTCTTGGGAGGTGACACTGGTTTTTATTTTGTTTAAAGCAGCGCTTGGTTTGCTCGCAAGTGGACGGTGGGAGGGTTGGTGCCTGCTGGTGGGAGCAGCTGCCCTCTTGGGCCACCCTGCCCCAGCTCCTGGCACAGAAGGTCAGGAGCGATTTGCTTGTTTGTGCAGCTTGCAAATAAGCAGCTCTGCCTTCCAAAGTAACACTGTGCCCTGAGAAGAGGCAGGGACCAGCATTAAAACCACCGATCACAAAATAACACACAAAACATGGTTTCTCCGTGAGAACCTTCTTTTACCGTTATTAACCAGGTGAGCCTCTTGCTTCTGATCTGTCTCATTTATTGACACAAAACAACTGAATCTCTGAGTTAAGATTGTACTGTAGGAGTTTGCCTTACAGTCCCCTCAAACAAACCTATTTTCTTTAGAAATATTGCTGCCTGGAAGGCATCAGAAAGCCCCAAGATACACTGGTGGCTGTATCATCCACCACTTTTGCTGTATCTATTTAATTCGAATGAGTTAGAATAATCAATACTTCCTTGTCTTTCACCAGTGTTTAACATGTGTTTACAGAACAAGTTACACTAATGTTAGCATTTACCTCTAGATGCATCTACGCAGGTGGTTTTTTTTCCCGTCTAATAAAAATCGTGGAACAGATAAGCACTAAAACTCAAGTTAGCATATTGCAATATTGATTTCTACAAGAGCACTGTAAGAATATATTTATCTATCCGTCCTATTATGAAATGGGTAAAAATGTACCACACAACCATTTCAGTCGTTCAATACTATATTGAAAAGCCTGTTTGTTTTCTTTTTCTCAACAGGCCTTTTGAGGCACACAGATTTTTTTTTTTTTTAATGCGTATTTGTTGAAGAAAGGATTAATACAAGATGATAGTGTTTTGCCTTAAGACATCTCTTTGCCCACATTTTGTTTTGATTAGAACTGCTGTGTTGCGATTTTGGCTTTCTCTGAAACTCTCCACATTGGAAAGCAATCACAGAGTAAAATGTGATTAATTATAGATTGCTGGCCTGGTACCTCTTTTATTCCAGCAATTATTCTATTTTCTCATGGTGTTCTGAACAGAAAGGAGCTGAGTGTATTGAGCCAGGGGCTTTCCTGTCCTAAGCTTCTAAAAGGTGTCTGCCTACGTGGTTTTACGACCCCAGAGATGCTTTGCTCTCCAATGTGGTGTAATTTGGTGTTTCTTAAAAGCAAATTTCTAATTGATCAAAAGAAGAGTGAAATGAAAAGAGTGGTGGGAGAAAATGAGAAAAGGTTATTGTGATCACTTTGTAGGTGAAGACCACATTATTATTACTCTCGCAGATTACACTGTGTCATGTTTTCAATAGCAGAAGGTCAAGTTGAGCCCAGGGATAGAAGTGAGAGAACAAATACAAACAATAAAAGCAAAGCGACTTGAATGTCTATGAAATGGAGTGTTTGAGCTCATTATTCTATGGAACGTGTGTCAGTATCGCTGCAAAAGCGTCTCCATGTAGTGATTTCAAAGTGTAGCTTCTGGGTATAGGTGGGCTGGGTGTGAGATGTGATGCTGGAAGCAAGTAGAGACAAAAGTGTCTGAGGGTGCTATGATGCATTGATCACACAGACATGATCCTATGGATGTGAGCAAACAGACCGCCTGTTCCTGAGGAAGCTAGACTCCAAGGGTCTTGGCCAAATTTTCATTAAGATAATGAAGGATTTTATAATCTGTCTTTAATAATCGCTGGTTCAAACTGTTGGAGGTTTCAAGTAATCATGAGGGAAAAAAGAGACCTTATAACAGCCTTCTAATACTTAAAGGGGGCTACAAGAGAGATGGGGGGGGCACTCTTTATCAGGGAGTGTAGTGATAGGATGAGGGGTAATGGTTTTAAGCTGAAAGAGGGTAGATTTAGATTAGATATTAGGAAGAATTTTTTTACTGGGAGGGTTGTGAGGCACTGGCCCAGGTTGCCCAGAGAAGCTGTGGGTGCCCCATCCCTGGAGGGGTTCAAGGCCAGGCTGGATGAGACTTTGAGCAACCTGGGCTGGTGGGAGGTGTCCCTGCCCATGGCAGGGGGGTTGGAACGAGATGATCTTTAAGATCCCCTCCAACCCAAGCCATTCTGTGGTTCTATGAAATCTGTTTGCACTGTGGTGGTGCCTCAGAACTTGCAGCTTTCACAGCAGTTGGGTGGTGAGAGGGTACATAAGGTTATAAAGACACTGTGATCTGCACACATTATGTTTGTGATTTCCAGTATAACCTTTAGTTAATACAGTGATATTGCAGAGCTGCCTTATCACGGTTTCTCTGTGTTCTTGGAAACAAGTGAAAAGAGCAATATGACTGCTGCCTTTTTGCCTTGGATTGCACTGTAGATGGCACTGTGAAACAATGATTTTGATAACAAAGATCTATTTCACAGCACCATTCCAGACATTAACTGCAGTGTAATATGGCTTTCTTTTTAGGTCCCCAAAGTGAAGGAAAAATTCTGAAATGCAGAAAGGTTTATTTGCTGCTGCAAATGGGAATCTGGAATAACTATGAAAAACACACTGAAATAATTGTGTTTGACTGGAACAAAATTCTTGCAAAGTCCCCAAGGTAAGAACACTTTTTATCTTTCAAATGACACTGAAGATTTGCTGTTCTGGTTAGCAACAATATCCACTTGAATCCAACAGAGAATGAAGGCTTGACATTTCTGAAAGCGGCAGCCCACTGACGCTGAAGGGCTCAGCACCCCTTGCTGCATCTCTCTGCCGAACTTCATTTTTTCCCCTACCTTTTTAAAGATCCACTTGTGTGTCTTTATATTAGCAGGCTGAAGACTTGCATTCTGTCTACCTGCAAGGCCAACTAAAGTCTTCAAATGTTGTCTCATTTTAATTGCACAGGATGCTTTTAGCAGCCTTTCGGTTTAGATGCAGCTAAGTTGATGCTTTGTAGCGATACACTTATTCCTGGACTTGAATATATTTACAAAGGGGTGCAGTTACCCTCTTAACCTGATGAAACCTGGCTTCACACTCCCTGTCTAATATCAGGGCCGTGGCTTCAAAATTCAAACTCATAATCTGGGAAAGGTTTGGAAATGAGGTCAGCACACAACCGTTTCCACCGAGACCAGCTTTGCTCCCACACTGGGAATGGTGAGAACACCTGGGTACACTTACATGCTGAAATAGCAGCTGTTGAGCATGCAGTGCATGACTGGGGACTCAATATCTGTCCCTTCCATCAACTCACACTAGAAGGGGCATGCTCAAAATGTCTGATCTGTGGTCTTAAATTCCAAGGGTTGAATCCTGCTTTCAGTCACATCTCAGGAAATCTGAAATGTCCCCCTCTTCATTATGATACTTCAGAGTGACACTAGAGCTGGGGTCTCCACTGATGCTTGGACCAGATTCCTGTGTTTGCATTTAGAGGAACAGAGGGATGGTGTTGCAAAATGAGCAGATGATGACTTCCTATTTAGTGGTAACCAGTGCACGAGTTGTAAGCCATGTGTTTCTCACGGAGAGAGCAAGAAAACTGAGGTTTAATTCATCTCTACTCAAGAAAATGAGGTTCAGTTATCTGTGGAAGATATCGGTGATTAAAATCTGAAATGGTAGGTTGATTTCAGAGCTTACTAAGCGCTTTCCTTAGGCTAATGTTGGATCAACACCAATAATAACATTTATGCCAGTTTCACAGTGACTCAATCCCATTAGCTGCAGTAGCGTTACGTGGTTCAGCTGGGTGCAAGAGGTGAATTGGGTCCATGCTTATTAGCTGAAGTGTAGCTGCTCTGAATTAGCCTGTGAGTGCTCTGTAAGAGGATACTTGTAGGGTATGCAAAGACCAGTGACATCTTTATCTTCTGGGCTTGATTCATATTTGCAGAAGACTCCTCTATACTGCTGCAGAAGAGCCTTAGTGTGTTTCTTCCCATACTGGTTCATTTGTGTTCAGGGTGGCAACATACTGGGCTCAAAACAGAGCACCTTCTTAATGCAAAAAAAGGTATCTCTTTGCCAGATCAGTCCTTGACATGTGGCTTAAATGTCTTTTTTTATTTTTTTTTTCTTAAATCTGTAGACACGTTATGTTGGTTTTTAGCAATATTTGTGTAGCCTTTTAAGAAGTTTACAGGCTGGAGTGAACTCTACAAGGACAGCTGAAGGTGCTGGTTTTTTTCACCAATGTGTTTTTTTCTCAAGTGTAAAATTTCCTGCTAAAACATGTTTACATGCAACAGACTTTTAGTCTCTTAACTTTTGATATTAGTTAAGTGCATTTGTGATTTGTTTGGGCTTTATCAACATTCTCATTCATACATAATAAGAAAACAGAATTGTTTTGTGATGTGCAAAAGGGAAAGCTATGTAAGCGTGTTTAAATGAGAAGACATGACATCTCTTTTGGTTTCATTTGTAGATGATTATTAAATTTAAAACAGGATCAAAGTGCCTCACCTGCCTTTGATAGTAGAGCTGTCTAAGGCATGAGTGTTTTTTTTTTTTTTAAACTATCACTCTATTCAGCACTTGAATATTGGATTAGCTGAATAGTCTCAGGTATTTTAAAGATATACATATAAACAAATTATTTAGAAAATACTTGGAAGAGTCAGAACTGGAATCTGCAGGGGAAAGAAGTTCTCAAAGGATGCATAAGCGTGCTTATGATAGGCTTGCCCAAATCCTAGCATGCTGATTAACTGCAGACTAACATCACTGCTATGAAAGCAGCACTTAGTTCAATTTATGCAAATTTATAAGCTGCCTTTAATTAATTTGATGTATACTTGCTTATAGTATTTGCTGAAAGTGTGGAACATTGTATTTAAGAGTTCAACTGCATAATGCCCATTTATGTATTGCACGAGTAATAAATCATCATAACTGAGTTTAAGAAAATGATTAGATTATCTTTCTATATGATGAATGGCATAACATAAGCTATTGAGGGATTTAATTGTAGATATTTGCAGCAAATTTACTGAGGATTTGTTGTCTAACGTGAATAAGACTAACAACATCCACTTTCTTTAGAACGCCCTCTGAAATGTAGTTTCTACCACCCTGGCAGAGCAGTGAGTCCTCACATATTTGACTGAGGTGCTATTTTCATGAGTGTTTAACCCTCAGCAAGCCCAGAAAAGCTAGCAGATGTTGTGTGCTTGGGAGATCCAGGCAATTCATGTGCATGGCTACATGGCAGTTGGTAGCTTTAGCAAATATGTCTTGAGAATTATGAAGTGAAAAGGCCATTTTTCTGTAATGTTTTTATTATTTTGAAGCAGGTGCAGTTTAAAAATAGTAGCACAACTTATAAATATGCATATTTAAATTTGAGTGTGGATGGATCTTAAATAAAAAACCCAAACCAACCCCTTATGTCAGATTCATAGAAATGTGTTGCACTCAGAATGTGTTGGTATACATATGTGTTTGTGGGTAATACAATGTGTGATAGCCATTGCATTGCTCCTATTTATAGAACATGCTTGACAAAGAATTGATCCCAACTAAACCATTAATATGATTTTTGTCCGTGTTGCCTTGTGATAAGCCATAGTAGTTATTCTTCAGCATCTTTCAGCTTTTTCTTCCCCGCATCATTTTTGTGTTATTCCCTACTCACATTGTTCTTTCACTCACCTGCTTCCTTTTCTGCCTCCAGGATGAGATTCTGTGCCAAATCAATGCTTCTATCTGACTGGCTCTTTCTGGTCTATGTGTTAATGGTCTGCTGTAAATTGTTGTCCGCCTCTAGCCACCATCCCCGGGGGCACACAGGTAGGAGCTTTTAAACTCATTATTTGCTACTGAGACCAATTAATACTGCTCACAGAATGTTAGAGCCCACGTTTTAGCAATGGATAATTGATGAGGCTGTTGACAGCATGTTATAATCCGTGCAATGGGTTAAAATACAACAATAGCAAGATAAAATGGGTTATCATAAATTTTCATTATTTTTCTCTAGTAATTTTGTGTACTGAAGCCTACCAGACAGTTTTTGAAGTGACTTCATGACTGTTAGGACTTTGGGATTTGTATGTGTCCTTTTGCTTTATCCTTATCCAAAGCTACTCTGAGATGTATCTTTATCTTCTCCCTCTTAATCCAGTTGTTATCAAGAGACTTTACAAGGGTATCATTGGCTTTGTTGAGCAATAGATCAAAGCCCTCAGACTTATGTCAGACAGTTCTTTTACTAATCAACTCAAATACTTAACTATGGTTTAGTTCAGCTTGTGGTATGCTCCTTCTTTTCCTAACCTGCATAGCGAGGCAAACAGAAAAGTATTGCATTTAAGAGGATGCACTATTGTAGTGGAGTATATCTACCAGACACATGTAGTATCTTATTATAAATGACAGAAATATCTCGGAACAAGCTGGGCTGGCTTCATGAAGAGATACCAGAATGGATTGTTGAAGCAACATATCTGTGCTAGAATAGTGCAGACACATCAGCTTGAAAGCAGAAAGAAATATAGGTGTACTAATGCTAGTGCAAAGATATGAGTGCAAGTCCTTAAACTGGATAACTGAGTTATCCCTGTGTCACCTTTGATCTCAGAAGAGAGAGAGGTAAGTTAACAAAATACCACCTGTGAGCTCTGCTTTTTAGGAGAGGTCAAAAGCCTGGTTGCAACACCATGATGAGATGACTGCATTCTCAGTACCATAGTTAGCTTCATGCTGGCTTGGAGATTTCTACAAGTGTTGCTATTTGTGATGTAGCCTCATTCTTAAATTAGGTGTAATGCCTTAAATCCATATGTAATGTTATTAGCTCTGAGCCAGACTCTTGTGGGTCCAGGTCTAATGTTAGCATCCACTTCAGCTCAGTGCTAGGAAGTGGGGATGCATTTGTTGGAGGCTCCATCCTCCAGATGAGACAACCTATTGATTTCTTTCCTGGCTGCTTCTGGTGATTGTCTAGGTAGAAGCTGAAGGCTCCTCATGTGCTCACCAAAATCCCTTCAGTTCTGGCAAGAAGCTCTGTCTGTGACCTGCATATAATTGCTGTGTCTATGTACATGCTCACAGCGTACCAGCAGTGTGTGTATCCAAGAGCTACACAAAACACCTTCTTGTCTTACCCATCACCAGCTCTGCGTTCCCTGGTGCTGTGCAGCACTCATGTGTTTGCCACGAAATGCAGTCACAGGTTATGGAGAATAACTGGCACACCACAGTAAAAGCCTGTAAAGTGATTCCAGTGAATATGGTGTTAGGGGATGATCCATATTGCTGTTTTGCAGGTAGCCGTTATGGAAACTAGTTGAATCACTTCACTGAGAAAGGGGGTCTATGCACAATGACAAGTTAATTAGGCCCTCTTGACCTTTCCTGTAAACAGCTGCTGCTTAGCAGAGCATTTCAGAGCTGACTAAGCAGCAAAACCTGGAGAACAACCTTCTGCAGCTTTTGTCTTTCAGGGAAGAGCCTTGTAAAAAGAAATGTTATTTTTATCTTTTAAAGATCCTCTTTGCATGGGTACCTAAGGGAAATACCTGTAATAAGGCAGTAGTGATCCTGTGTTGTGGGCTTGTATGGTGAACACCCATGTGTTAGGTAAATTAGGAAAATCTTTTTAACATAACATTTCAGAATGCTTGACTGCATACTTTTTATTGACACCAAGAATTCTTTCCCCTGTAACAAAGACATACTGTAAAACACAATCAAGCTGCTTGACTGTTAAGCAAATTAGTGTACAGTGCTTTCTCTGGTAGGCTAAAGAAAGGTTCTGCTCTTCATGAATAGTTTGGTCAGATTATGGAGCTCCTTTTCAAATAGACACTCTTGAAGCTGTAGTCTTCATGCACCTTTTCAGACTATGGAGTCCTATTCTTCCCCAGACGTGTGTTTATCTTATGTGTGATGGGGAAGTGACCCCCATCTCACTTTATGATTCCTTGTAACTGATGAAACAGGCAGCCCATTTTTGATTCTCCAGCTCCATGTGACTGACATATGGCACCGTAAAGCATTTCAAAGGCATTGGGGGGGGGCGGGGGGGGTGTCTCCTCAAGGAGCTTGCATTTCCCAGCCTCATCTTGTCTTTGCTGTTTGATACAACACCTAGATTGACCTTCTAATGTATGATCAGACCTGTAATGGGATCTGATACATGAGAAACACAACATTTTATTCATCAGGAAAGCAAATAATTTAGAGCTTTTTTTGTGGGAAGCAAATAATTAGCCTCATTTGTTTAATATAAATTAACATGTTCTTGAATGGCAGTTGAGATAAAATTTTTGCAGTCAATAGACAACGTTAACATTTTTCGAAGTAAAATGTCCTGGAGCACATTAGAGGGATGAATTCAAGCTCTGGCTTTGGCAAAGGCTTTCTCCTGTGTCCCTTAGGTCAAGCAGCTGTAAGCTGACACGTATGAGGCCTGAGGTGCCTGGGATACTTTAGGAGGAGTTGCTTTTTAAGAACATACTCCTAAAAATCAGTGTGTTTCAAGGTAGGTACTAGCTTCATCAATAGTCACTTTTGGAAAAATTTCTTACTCATTAAAGCTAACAAAGTTTATTAACCAAGGGCAGACAATAGAATTTAAAATGAAAAGTGGGGATTGACTCTTTTTCTTTTCAAAATACTGCAATTTTTGAGGAGCCTAATCTGGGAAAAGACAATTATTGACTTTGGTCATGTTAGATGGTGCCTGAAAGAATGACATTCGGTGGCTGTCTCTGCAATGTTCAGACAGGAACAGACTAGATCTTTAAGGACCCGATAACCATCCTCTTTCTGAAAAGTGGGACAGGATGCCATTGAGCAATCCCTTTGACAAAAAGGGCCTCTTCACTGTAATAAAGTGTAAGACAGACCTGGTTCTTTCTTTTGTTCTGCAAAATATTCACCCCCATCAAATAACTGTTAGTGGAGAAAGAGGCTGTTCAATCTAGCAGCCAATCCTGCCATTGCTTTGAAGCAGTTTGTATTTTGAGTGCAGCTTGGAGGCTGCAGCCTGTTTTTCATTCGAACACTGTAATTGCTTTGACTAGTAGAGTTAACTAGGCAAAAGGTAGAGGAGAAATGTTCTTTTTCAGTACAATTAGGTCACTGAAGATGCTGTTTATGTAGATTATTTCAGCAGGCTCCCTGTACATCCATGTAGAGAAGACACTTCAGAATATTAATCTGACTTTGTTGCTCTGAATTACCCTCTTGGAAAGTTTGTCTTTTGCACTGATAGTAGTGGAGGGAAGCATAAGCACCAACCTTTCTATAGCTATTTAAAATTGGGCAGTATTTCAGGCTCCCAGAGTACCTAACTGATACCGATATAACTATCAATTCCATGCTGTGCTGAATGAAGCAACATACATTTAGTACCAGAGAAGATTTGTTTCCACCTCACTGCTGTAAGTCGGGATTCACAAATGATGCGTTGAAAAGACACTCAGGTCACTTCATGTGGGGGCTAGGCTTGTAGACCATTAATTGGTATAGCCAGCTGAGCAGTTTCTGTCATGAATTACCAGTGCAGCTTGGCTTTTTGGAGGTTGCTGTGTTTTATTTTTATGTGATGATGCTCCTCTGAAATGCTTCCAGCTTCTACCTGCTTGCTGAAGGGTGTAGATTTTTTGGAAAATCCATTATTATTAACATGTCTGGAATCCATATATTTAATAAACATCTGTAGCTTAATGTAGGGCCAGGTTTGTCGCTGAATTGTCTTACTCAGTTCCCATTTTCTCTTTTCTTTGTGATCTCAAGTGAAGACTTCAGTGGTAGCCCTAACGGTTTGCTTGCTTCCCATTGCTGCAGGATGATGCAGGTCATAGGGATACACCACTGTGTTTGAGTGCCCTGGGACAGCTTGGTCTTTTAGCTAACTGGAGGAATAGGTAGTGACTTGTAATGGAATTTATTTCTTCATACACTGCAGAGAGTTTAATTTTCAGGGTTATCAGAGGTTAAATGGGAGAAGTCTTTTTAAAAATGGCTGTGGCAAGTCAAGTATGCATGACCATAGAGATTGGGAAGTGAGTTCAGGAGGGAATTATCACCAGCCTGGGATGTTGCAAACTCTACATCTTTACTTAGTGAAATGCATCTGAAAATTTGTAATTTCCTGCTTGGCATCTTAGATGAGATCTCCAGCAACCAGAATGCTGTCCTAGCTGGTTTTCAGAGGACCAGTGATCTCCATCATGTGTGAAAGATGAGCTGCTTTTGTAGACTCTGCTGAGCAGGGCCTGAACTGGGACCTGAGATAATTTTCTGGGATTCCACGAGTGTTTTCCTTTGTTGTCTTCTGATTGATGCTTGAACAGGGAGAGATGTATGGAAAGGCTCAGCTTATGTGGGAATGATCTGGGTGAATAATGCAGGCGTATGCTTGTTGCAAAGGGTCTCCTCACTGCTATTCTCTTTGTGTCCTTGCTGTGGCTCATGGAAAGCAGTCTTTTTCAGAACACATCTGTCTGGTCTTTTTCTGTCCTTCTTGGGTTGCTCTCTGAAGCTGGTCTAACCTACCAGTGGGATGGTCAAAGTCACTTGTCACAGAAACAGACGCCCTGTCGTTTGTCATTTGGTGGTGGCAGGTATTGTGTGTATACTGAGGCAAAGATCTACTCTTGATGGACAGCAAAGAGGGCACAGAGGGTATGCACTGAACTAGGTGTTTAATGCTTTTCTGTGTCCCAAACAGCAAAGAGAAGTCAGTACCCTGGAGGAGTGGAATAATGTCCCCCCAAACCTAGCGACCACTAACACACTGGGAAAGTACAGGCTTCATTGCCCATGATCAGGTAGCAAGA